TTTTGGGAATTTATTTCAAGAAATTACCAAGTATACAGAAATATCAACATTTTCTTTTTGAAGCATCTAATCTTGGTGTAGTTAAAGCTCAGGAGATTGCTAATGGACCTTTTACTGAATTCAATTTATTGAAACCAAGAAAGCAGATATTTTTGAAGAAATTAAATCCTTATCTATTTTAGTGTTAATACCACCCCTATTGGATTACAAAAGACAAGAATACCTTTATCATAATATTCACCCATTTGTGAAAGATGAATACAAAGATATTACTTACCCAAGGCCAATCTATACTGGAAATGAATAAAATATTTAGAATAAAATCACCTACAGTGTTTCATTTGTTATTACTGTCATTAAGTTTAATAAGTTTAATCTTTCAATAAATATTGCTAGCTTTTAGTATAAAAAAAAAATACTAAGATAATTATATACTTAATATACCCTCTAAAAAGGATATAAGTATTATCAAGAGAATAAATAAATAAGAAAATCATGGTAAACACAATAACTGAACAACAAGAAAAAAACCAAAAACTATTAAACAAAATTGAAACATTAAGAAAGCAATTAGCCGATAAAAAAGAAAACTTTAAACTAAGAACTTTAAATGCAGTTAACAATGTTATGGAAAGTGAAAGACCAGAAATTGCTGGCACTTTAATGACCTTAAAACAACATTTTTGAGCTTGAGATGAGTGGGTAAATATTCAAAAAGAAAATGGAGTTGAGAAAGTTATTTTTGGTAATGAATTCACTATTGAAAAAATTGTTAAAGGATTTAGTGAATGAACATTAGCTATTTCAGATTCTTTTAGATTTACTTATGATAAAATGAAGAACTTGAAGAAAAGAATGCTATTCTAGAAAAAAGTGTTGTTGAGTTAGAGATAACCAAACAAGAGTTAGAAGAAGCATTAGAATTAGAGGAGGAAACATCTGATTGTCATTTAGAAGTTCTTGAGGTGGCTAAACAATAGAGAATAAGACAAAGCAAAGAAAAGGATGATAACTTAGAAAAAGCTTTGAAACAAATAGAGCTGTTAGAAAATGGGGTCTGTACTAGGAAAATCAAGCTTCCAGCTATTTTTTTTTGTCTTTTTACTCAACAATAATCTCTAATAAAGGATTTACAGTTGGTGAAAAAATTGACCCTGATTGCATAGTAGAAAAATGAGATACAAGGCTTGGAATATTTTCTTTATATATTAAAAACACGTGTAACCAAATTTATAAGGGTTGTTACTAAAAATAGATTTTTTGTCTGGAAGGTTGATTTTCCTAGTACAAACCCCAAATGTTGTTTCATGGCAGAATTATTTAGCAAACAAACAATTTCAAGAACTGCCAACTTTACCAAGAAAAGAAAACAAATTTAAACTCTTAACTAACAAAGTAAAGAACAGAGTTAAGCAAGCAAAAGAAATAACCAGGGATAAATTCAACACTTATATCTTACAAAAGAGCAAATAGTATGAAATTAGAATATCAAGCTAATGAGTTAAGGAGAGGAGATAAATGGCATTGTAATTTCTGCCCTTTTGAAAGAGAAAAAAGTTTGACTGCTACTTACAAAATAATATCTTACAATGGAAGCAATAATGATTACAATGACATTGCTTATATTTGTGTAGAGTGTAAAAAAGCTCTTGATGATGATACTCTACCACATTGTAGTGATTGTGGTCGAATTATGAGAAACAGAATAGAATGCTTTTGTGATTTAAGGAAAGATGAACCAGTTAAAACTCTGACAATAACAGAAATAATGGCTCAGAGTTATGTGGGTAGATTAGAACAACAAAATAAAGACTTGAAACAACAACTAACTAGTGCCAAGGAAGAAATCAGTTCTCATTTGGAAGCCTTAGAAGTTTCAAAGGATTGGCATAGTAATCAAAAGAAAGAATTATTGGATAAGGTTCAAAGACTTGAAAGTGAGGTTGAGCAATTAAGGAAACAGGAAACTCAACAAACTGCACAAATTGAAATTAAAGAAACTAAGAAATGACCTTGATTGAAAATAAGAAAGTAGTTTCTGTATAAATTGAAATTTATTCCAACTATCAAAGAAAATGATAGTTATTTTCCTTTAGATAAAAGTTAGAGAAAATATTAATGATGATGATAAAATAAGATTTACATTCTTCCTAATTACAAATGTAATCTACTGTCTCTGACTTAAAAGATGAAGATTTTGCCAAAGCTGCTGATGAATATAAAAAAATATTTCAAAGAATAAAGGAAATTATGATGATAAATCTATTTGATGATGAATAACAGGTATAACTTTTTTAGGTTTTTATTGCTATGATTCATGTTGATAAAATTAAAAGGAAAAAAATAAACCAATATTGTAATAATCAGATTTATTTTCCTTTTAAAGGTTTTTGCTTTTTGTTGGATAATAATAGTACATTTTCATGTTGTTTTCTTTTTTTAATGTTTATTATTTTTCTTTCTTCTTGGTAAATTTCATAAGTAATCCTTTCTTTTTTTAGATAAGCTTCAAGTGTTTGAGTATCATT